TGCTGCTGTTAGTGAAGTGAGTGCTGTCGACAGTGAAAAAGTATCGAAAAGCAAATTAGTGCGGGATTTGGAGGAATATTTTGCGAATTTTACGCTTACACCAACAAAAATTAAATTATGTAAGTCTTCCTCTTTCTAACAGACACATAGAATGAACAGTAATAATTTACTGAAAATGGGGATTCATCAGTACGGCCCCCTAATCACCATGTAAATGCGTCAGCTGAAAAGGCGTTTAGAAGAACAAAGATAACAGGAGAGGGGGGAAAGAGGAATGAAAAGAAAAACTAATTGATGTGTTTTATGGATGTGTGTTTTTTCAGTGAGCGCATTTACATGTGCCTCGTTTTTCGGCTGTGGACTACGTTCGGTATATCGGCACACAAAAGGAGAACGCTTAAAGAATATACGTAGTGGATTTGGGCTTGGTTTACGTGCATTTGGGATTGCTACAGTACTCTCGGTATCCGGTGTTGGATTACTGATTGTCGTAGTGTCCGGGGCACTGGGCGTTGATTCGGCACAGCAGTTCGGTCAAAGAATGACCGATTTATGCGGCGATCGTTTCCGTATCGATCAGAGAGAAAGCGTTGCAACATTCACTGAGGTATTTTTCCCTTGATTTTTACGTTAATATGTTCTGGCACTTAAGCTATTTCCTTGTATTTTTGTCTTTTACAGAATGTAAATTATGATTTTTTTCGTATTTTCCTATTATACATCGGCTGAAACACGCATTCTTCCCGTCGTCACGGAATTTGCGATGCCCTGGTCGATTGCAGTGCATTGTTTAGACCCCAGGCCAATTGCTTGGATCATACTAGTTTATATTTAACTTATTTTTTGAATCGGTATTCGATTACTGCAGTATGCGATGCTTTGTCTACCAGCGTTCTGGTGTAGGGATAATCACGCCCTAGATCAAGTAAGTTTCGTCGTTTTCACACACCGCTGTACCCAGGTTCATAGAGACTTGTCCCCGAACTTATTGACTTGTCCGTGGACGTATTGATGAGATCCTGTCGCGGTGTTGAGTTAAGACGTATATGACTTAATGGACCGAAACCGCTCGTCTCACTCTTGCCTCTTTTCTTA